CATTGAATTGAATACCACAGTTTACCTAGGAATGTTTTTATGAATGTTTGTCAGCTTGATTCGTAAATATGGCCCAGTATACTTCACTTTTTTTTGTTGTATTGTGGTTGTGTCTCAGGTGTGGGATGATGTGGTAAGGAAAGAGAAGCCTAAAGAGGAGGTGTTTGAGTATAAGAAGAGACTTACTCTGGACCATGAGAAGAGCAAACTGAGTCTTGCCGAAGTTTATGAGCAAGAATATATCAAACAGACACAGGTGAGTCCTGTCCACAGCTATGTCTCTCATTTCACCTCCTGCTCATACTTATGTATAGGTATAAAAACATTCCCCCCCCCCAGTTTCGCAGACAAGGCTTAAGCCTATTCCCAGACTAAGGCTGCGTTTACACTTGGCAACATCAACTGACTTTTCTATCTGGATAACCGATCGGATCTGTCTTTCCCACGCAATATTTAAATAAGTCTGCAGAGGATGGCCCGGTGCAAAGTCAACCTGAAGGGGTGGGCTTTCTTTTGAAAAGCATTTTCAGTCTCGGGACATTTTACAAATCATAGATAAGTGTAGGAGTCTCACTAGTCTCCACACGGGTGTTCTCCGTCTTTTTTTCTGACAGTTCGCGAGAGAGGGCGCGGGGTTTTGTGTGATGTCGATTAGCGAATGCAGACACGATGGCTGGATTGCGTTTACATTACACAGAGATCCGATCACAATGCGTCCTCGACTACCTCTGGAGCAGGACACGCTGATCGGATAACGTTCCGATCAGAAGCGCATTTACACTTGTCTTTTCAATGTGTATGTGGACAACATCCGGATACAGGTCGCATGTTAATGCCAAGTGTAAACGCAGCCTAAAATGTAAGTCTGAGCTGTTTCAAATAAAAGAAACTTACACTGACTGATCTTAAAATATATCAGTGCATTTGTTTTGTCAAGATGCACATCAGTAATGTTTTTTTCTAAGGCACATTTATAAAAAATTACTTGAATGTCCTAATTGAACTAAGGCCTAATCCTGGCTTAGTCTAAGCCCTGTCTGTGAAACCAGGCTTTTAGGTTATAATTTGAATGATGTCTGAAATTGTGATTCACGTACATATACAGTAATATTGTCAAATACTATTACAATTTAAACAACTGTTTTATATTTAAATATATTTTAAAATGTAATTTATTCCTATGATGGCAAAACTGAATTTTCAACAACCATTACTCCAGTCTTCAGCGATGCGGATTTGATGCTGAAGAAATATTTCTTATCAATGTTGAAAACAGTTGTGCTGCGTAATGTTTTTGTGGAAACTATACATTTTGTAAGGATTCTTTGATGAATAGAAAGTTCAAAAAGCAGCATATATTTGAAATAGAAACTTTTTCTAACATTATAAATGGCTTTACAGTTACTTTTGATCAAATGAATAATCCTTGCGAATACAAATATATAATATATTTTTTTGTGGGCTTCAGGAAAAGAAGGAAGAGGAAGAGAACCCAGCACATGTAGAAATCCAGAAACTCATGGACACACTCTTCCTTAAACTGGATGCGCTATCAAACTTCCACTTTACACCAAAACCAGTGAGTTAAATTCTCCTTATGGCTTGAGCCAGCTATAGTGTATTCCTGCATGTGTGACGTGGATAAAAAAAATGATTTCAAGCTATGTACCTATAAAATGGAAAAAAACAACAACATTCAATTAGGCTGTTTATTAAAACTAAATATATTGGCCTAAACATGTAAAATGGATTCCTGTTCTGCTAAGTTCATCTCTCTGTACAGCATGTTCAGATGAGTCATTCTTCATGTGTTATTTCTCTGTTTAGCATATTCCTGAGGTGAAAGTGGTTTCCAACTTGCCTTCTATTACTATGGAGGAAGTGGCTCCAGTCAATGCCAGTGACGCCACACTGCTGGCTCCAGAGGAGATTAAGGTCTGTGTGGCCTGCTCGCATCACTTCCAGTTTATCAGAAAACCTCACTTTTAAGTGCTTACGAAAGAGTTTGCTTTGTAGTATTTGAGTGAAACATTTACACAAATTAGATCTCAGAATCTTCATTAGATTTCAATGCATTTTATTCCCTTATCTCAGGAGAAGAATAAGGCAGGAGACATACTCGGAGACACAGAAAAAACCACTACAGATAAGAAACGAGAGAGACGGAAGAAGAAGAAACTGAAGCATCTGAAGATTAAAGAGCGGGAGAAGAGACAGCAACTCAAAGAGGAGATGAAAGGAGACAAGAATAAGAAGAAGAGTAAAACTGAGGTTGAACAGACTCTCAAGAAACTTACTAAAGGAGGAAAAGCCAAAGTACTCACGGTCGGTAACCAAGTCAAATGCAGTATTAATGAATCCAATTACATTATTGTGGTTTTGTTTGTGTATAATATTTTCTCCCCCTGTACATTCTGACAGAATGATGGCATGGATAAGGCTCTGCGTTCCTCTCAAGCCTTCTTCTCCCAATTACAAGACCAAGTCAAGAGCCAAATCAAGGGCTCGAAGGACCAGACGGCAAAGAAAAAGAAACAAAAACAGATTTCTGTAAACAAGCTCAAGTTGTAATGTTGACTTGTCAAAAGCAATATGTACAGTTATTAGTTTTATGAGAAATTGAATTGTTGTATCTGGTCATTTTTATTCAAATAGATTTCTTTTTCTTGTATATTTGTGTCTTGGGAGATTTTTTTTCGGTCTGTTTTTGTACTATATACTCTCACTATTAACTCTAAAAACAATGAAAATATTGTTTGCTCTTGTAATAAATTGCTTGTGAATAGACAGAGTTCCTTACCTGGTAGTGCTATATTAATAAATCAAGCTTTCATTAAAATCATTAGTATACTGTCAATAGTGGCCCCAAAAAGTATTTAAACACTGAAGTCAGACATTGAAATATCAGCATTAGATACAAAATATCAAAACAAGGGGCAACTGCAAACACGTTTGTAGATTTTTCTAGACACATTTCTTAACTATTTTCATGGATGTATTGAAGTCAGTTTTCATTGAGTTCACGCTGGAATTCGTGCAGAGTAATTACCTGAACAAATGAACATGTTCCACAATGTCTGACAACCGGAAAGTGTCCAAAACGTTTTGCTTTTGAACAATATATCTTCATATAATAAACCTAACACTTCATTTGTGGAAATGTGCTTGTGCTATATTTATTTAAAATAAATACTACTGTTTTTGATATTGCAGTACATAATTTCAGTATGTAATATTTACATATTTTTATAAAAAATTGTTTTATTATTTCTTGTATATTAAATACTTTTTGGGACCACTGTAACTTTCAATAAATGCATCATCCAAAAAAAAACTAATTTATATATTTTATTCATTGCCATTTGCGATTTACTTAAGCATTTACTAATGGTGTCTGCTAAATGAATAATCGTAAATACAGTTTGTCATAGCGCTAAGTAGTCAGAAAAGGGCATTAATATTGAGTTAAGTGCTCTGTAATGTTTTCCTTGGTTTGGTTACAGCTAGTGTCACCTGAACTTGTGTTCTGTCAACGTAAGCTGAGATTAAAATGATTTTACTGGTTTCTAATCTCATAAAAATATTAGAAAGTCATATTTACTGCCGTTAAATATGAACAAAAATGGCAGGACTCCATTCAAAGTGGCAATTCTTTTTATTTGCATGAAAATCTGAAGAGACAGATTTTGCAAATTGCCTCGCAAGGCTCCCCTGAGCTCACAGTCAAAAACTAAAATTAAGAACCTTCATTGACTCTCTACACAGACACAACCGACCAACCACAGATATCTAAACAACTGCCACACATAGCTTTGGAATTAGTCAGCATAGTTCCATTCACACACCAGAGGGGAAACTCCTGTGATGCTTTTGTAGCTTTTTAATAACCAGAAAAAGAAACAGGTACACTGCAATCAGGGCCCACAACAAGGCACAGAGCATCTGTACAACATCCCTGTTTTAAGTATCTTTGCATAACTGAATAAATATCAGTGCCGTTTGACAAATCAAACCGTGCCATTAGAACAAACACAGTTTTCATACTCATTACAGCACTACTGGTAAACTACACACATACTGTGCATTACTTCAGACTAGTTAAAGGGTATCAGGAGAAAAGGTAAGTACCAGTTCTAGGAAAAACAAGTTAAAGAATATAAATTGGAAAAAATAAAATAAAATACAGTCCCCAACCATAATAAAAATCTATAATTAAAAGGGTTACATATCAAACCAAGACCAGTGATACTGTCACACTAGTAAAATAACTCAAAAAGTTCACAGGTGCATTAGCACAACTTTCTCAAATTATAAATGTCTTATCTGACAGTCAGATGCTGTTTGAGACACCGACTGCACTGCAAGCCAAATCAACCGGCTGACTGGCTTGAGCAGCTGTCAGTCACCTTCAAACAGCCAAGCTGTGCTTTAGAAAGCGACGGGTCTAACAGACTGGAATCCAGCCAGCCTGACAGACACCAATATGTGCACAGTTATTGCCTGATATATGGGTTTACACCGATAAACCGTCAATTCCTATATCAAGTTTCACAATTTTGGTTATTGATTTTAATTAAGCTAACTACGTTAGACCTTACCAGAAGGTTTCAAGAAATCTTCAACTATTTTAGGATTAAAAGATAAAATATATGCGCATTTTATACCATAGATTTAAGTTAATGTTCAATTTGTTACATCAATTAATGCAGTAGGTATCAAGAACTAGCATTTATTTAAACTTGATTAATGTTAATTCTACATATACTATACTCATTTTTAAGTTAGTATAAATTTATATTAGTAAATGTATTATGAATAAACAATGATAATAAGAAACACTTTTTGAGAATCAAATCGGCATATCAGAATGATTTCTGAAGGATCATGTGACACTGAAGACTGGGGTAATGACTGCTGAAAATTCACCTCTGCTGTCATAACAATAAACATTAAACTAGAAAACAGTTGTTTAAAATTGTAATGATTTTTCTAAATGTTGCTGTTTTTACCTAATTTTTTATTAAATAACTGACCCCAAACCTCAAACAGTAGTATGTGTATTCATATGCACCTTTAATATAAGCTGTAAAAAATTGTTTATTGTTAGTTCATGATACCTAATGCATTAAATAATGATAACAAATTGAAGCTTAATATGAAGTATTACCAGTTCTACTTCCTTTCCAACTAATGCCACAAGCCTCAAATTGAGAAATCCACCAAGTATTTTAACACAAGGAGAAAAGTATATACAGGCAGTGTACAACAGATCCAAACAATCCTATGTCAGAACGATGTGCGATTGGAGCTTTATATTTAATCTGGTGCAAAAAAAAATCACTGCCTGACAACTCTCAACAGACTGAATAAAAATGTCCAGGTAACTGTCAGTACCACAAGCCTGCACATTCAAAATGAGAAGATCTTCAGGCCTTAGATGTTTGTCTATGTTTGTCTGACCTCACAGTCCTATCCCAGCAGTCTGCCCTCAAATCGTCTCATTAGCCAGCGTCTCCGTAGAGAGCCAGATCTTGGCTCCATTGAGGAACTTGCTAAGAGGAGACCCCAGAATGCCGGGGCGACACAGGTTACCCACAGGAGAGAAAGGAAACGAGGAGCTGAGGTACTCTGGAGGAGCAGGGGGCTGGTGAGGGGTCGAAGTCGCCTTAAAGTACATTTTGCTGTGCTCCGCGTGCAGATTGTTAGGAGTACCGCCTGCTCCTTTGTACTGCCTCAACTGGTTCTGGAGCATGTCAATCTCATCTGTGAGCACCGAGAGCTTGTGGAAGGCAGTGATGGGGCCGCCCTGAGGAATCTGAGCCTCGGGAACCCAGCGCAGGAAGTAGAGCTTCCAGACAGAGAGGTGAGATGGGAGGAGCTGGGGGAGCAGCAGGCCCTGTAGGTCGACAGGACGAGAGAAAAAGTCCCGAATGAAGCGTTCCGATGGGGTCTCCTGCTGCTCCCGCACCTGAGACAAATCAGAACGGAGACGCAGCACGAGGGAGTTCCGGCGCGCTAGGGTGTCGTTCGGTCCAAGCGATCCGTTTCGCAAAGCGGAGGGCAGACCCCGCAGCGTGGAACTGTAGTTTTTCTGAGGGAGTAGCAAAAAAACAATTTTCTTTTAAAAAACATTACTTTAGAGATAACAAAGTCAACAGCACACAGACTAGCAGAGATCGAGAGCTCACCTTGCTGCGCCTGTGTGTGAATGTCTTCACTGTGCCGTTCTGCACACAGGTAGCGATCTTGCCCACGTACAGGGGATTATTAAAAAGAGTCTGGTCTTTAAGACTGAACTGTTGAGACCAGTCCCACACTGGAGGAAAGCGCAGAGCCTGGTCCTGCCCCAGGTGAATACTCTTACTGCTTGCAAAATCCTGAAGAGGTGAGAGGGAAAGAGACAGACAGACATAGAAAGGGAGACGTCAACTCAAAGTTTGATAAAAATGAGTGATTTGATATGATATTACAATAACCTATCATAAAACAGACATTTCTTGCACTTCAATATAAATTCATTGTAAGATAGCAGCTATAAAGGGGTTGGACAAAAAATGTGAATACAACAGGCAATATTTCTTTATTAGGCTGTTTTAGCACTATCCGCCTCTAATACAGCTTCCAATCTTCTCAGAATAGATTAACTTTTAATTCGTCTCCAGCTGAATGTTGTCTATCAAAATACTTTTTGAATTTGCTTCTCACTCATCTCCCTAAAACTCCCACAGTGGTTTGAGATTATTCAAATCATGTGATTGAGTTCATCTTGGTGCTCCAACTGTTCAGGTTTTATGATCATGACACCATCTGTTTTACATTTTAGCATTGGTGTCTGTGATTGAAGTTTTAGCAACTGTGGCTTTTTCACGGATGTTGGTTTTGTGATGTTCTCTTTAGTGGTTTTTGGTGGAAACGTGATCTTCAAGGTGAACATTGAGGTTTGCTGTCACTTTGCTGCAGTAGTTCTGTTTTGTTTGGGGACAGTCCTTCTTGGTGTTCAAGAGTCCCTACAATTCACTTCAAGTTCTCGCCCAGTATTTTTCTCCAATGATGTTCACTGAAGTCTTGCCTTAGTGTACCCAATCATAATCGAAAAAACTATTGTTCTTAAAACACCAAACAACTGGACAGTTGTTATAGACACTCCAGGTTACAGAAACTCCTGCTAAACAAGCTTCCATGATTTGCCATTTTTGGAAGTCTAACAAGTCACTAATTTCACAGGCTGCTTGTATTAACACAACTTTTATAAAAATATGTAGTTATATAGACACTTGAGTATATAACTACAAGTTTCTATGTCTAGTTTGGCTATAAACATCCTACAATTAGACTATTGCTGACTGTGTATATTGTTAATAATAAACAATTAGGAATATATGAAAACATAAAAATGATTTAAAATAAAAACACAACAAAACACATTTCTGTTGTCTCCTTGTAATACTGATGGAGTAATGGCTGCTGAAAAATTCAGCTTTGCCATCACATGAATAAATTAAATTTTAAAATAGATTGAAGATTGAAACTTATTTAAATTCAATTTAAACATTTCACAATATTACAGTTTTTACTGTATTTTGATCAAATAAATGCAGCATTGGTAAACATAAGACTTTTCAAAAAACATTCAAACATCTTACAGACCCCAAACTTTTGAACACTAGTGTATAACTTGTTATATATAAACATATAATAATGATATACATTTAATTCAACTAGTTTAACTAAATGAACTAAATTAAAGCATCTAACCCTGCTGTGCTCTGCTCTTTGCCTGTAGGACCGTTCACATGTTCATAACTATTAAGTTTTAATAATCATTATTAAAATTTAAATGGAATAAAGGTGTGTGTGTATAACTCATTAAACCAACTTATAATATTTTTAAAATTCTTCAAAAAGCATCTAACCCTGCTGTTCTCTGCTCTTTGTCGGGGGCAATTGAAGAGGAAGGTGCTGAAGATGGGAACCCACATACTGTCCCCCAGCACTGTCAGGTACACCTCAGTGAACTCAAAGGCTGCTGGGTACTGATTCCACAGCTGCCACACACAGTCCAGGAACAGCAGGAACACAGGAGACTGCAGAGAGAAATAATATGAGCAATGAAAAAAAATATTCACATATATGAAAGAAGTGGGCCACACGTATGCCTCATACAGTCGATGAACAAACAAGATTCTGGAATCCAACTGATAAACAATGTACTACCTCCTCTTTGTCATTCTTCTTCAGATGGTTGCAGCGGTCCAGGAACCGATGCCCAGCCATTACCCATTCCTTCTGAATCAGACCCTGGAAGCCATGCAGACTCCTGCAGTGAGGATCGCACATCAGCTGCACCAGACAGGAAATCACACAACTCAGGTCCCGATCCTCTTTCTCTGTGCACACACATACAGAATAAAGAGGATCATTTATCACTTCACATAAGATTTACAAGATATTACATTTGAGATATTAGATTTGACTATAAAAGAAAACAGAACAATTAAATGAATTGTTTACCCAAAAATGAAAATATGTTGAAAATGTACTCTCCCCTCAGGCAATCCTATTTTGGTTATATGATGATTTTGTTTTGGGGGGGGGGGGGGGGGGGGGGGGGGGGGGGTATGGGGTATAATATACCTGATTATTAATAACTGCATTTGTGGCATGCTGATGACCATAGATAATTATTTTCTTGGGTTTGCATTAATATAATATAATATAATATATGGATTTATATATATATATATATATACACAACAGGATGGAGAAAAAAAATCTGTATCATAACTGTAAAAGAGATTTTTTACCTAGAAGTATGACAGGCACATTTCTGCTCTCCAGCATATAGACTACCTCTACTGCATGCCGTAGAAATGTTCTGTAAAAAAAATGCATACCACACAGCATCAACATCTACAGACAAAATTGTTGAGACCTAAATAAACACCTGAGAATGCACAAACAGAAATCTATGCCTGTTGCCAACATTTCTGGCACAAAAGCACTTCAGGCGCAAGCTGAGAGATCAAGTATGGTGACTACTGAGTGTTTCTCAATCATACCTGACATACTCCATCCATCTTGAGCTCTCTAAGGATGACAGCCACTTCTCTTCAGACTCCTCAAAGGGATCTGCATATGCATATAAATACAGAAGCAAGCAGAAAGACGCATTAGAGACAATGCCGTTTCCACCTGGTATTAAGATGCTTTTTAAATGAGTCTCCTGTGTGACCATCTAGACCCTCTCCTCTTATTTTGTCACACTGTAGATTCTACAGGAGCGGCAAATGCAGCACACAAATATGACTAAATAAATGAAGCCATTACTCTGCTTACAAGTAAATGGGAAAGGAATCAAATGGAAATAATAAACATGGTAATGCCGATTTGGATCGTAATCTTGACATATTGACACTATGAAAGCAATCCTCTGGAAATGGTCGGCAGCGGACAAGCTCAAAACATTTTAGACCCTGTTTACACCTGTATTTAACATCGTCCACTTGTGACAGGATTGACAAAAATGCATTTTAGTAGTGTAAAGAGGGTTCAAATGGATACGGCAATAAACAGATGACTTACCACGAGTCAGCTTTGATATAATTTTACAGATTTTCATTCTCGGAGTTAGAGTATCAACGGTTTCAACATGTTTTTAATGGCACCTGGAAGCACTGTGTGGGGTTCTTGGAACAATCTAAAACATTCCCTTACCATAGCCCAGACTAAATTATGAATAAACATGAATAAGCCTGGTAAGGATTTCCTACAGTCTTATACGTGTACCACAATCATCCCTTTCTCAAACAGGGTATTATTGATTACCTATAACACAAATCTGCCTCAGTTTCAGCAAAGCAGCCTGAATATCCTGGATGTTTGGGAGGTTTTTGTCCAAATCCGACTTGAAAACATCACTTCGGAGGGGGTGGCTCTTAGTGATGGCACTGGAAATCCTGCAGAAACACAGAGGATTCATTGTTTTTTGAATATGACTGCCTGTATTGTTGGATCTGGCAACCCCACTGAGCTCATGTTGTCAAAAGATCTGAGATGAGCAAACAAGCACAATCACAACTTCTGATAAGTTTTTCCAAAACATGAGATAATATATATAGATATATATATATATAAATTGCTGTTCAGAGTATATTATCAGCCAAAAGAGTATCTACTTTCTCACAACAGTACGATTATTGTTTAATTTCTCCTTAAAATGGTTTCTCTCTTTCTTACCGCTGCTCCACCTTCCTCTGCTGCTGCAGGTCACTGATGTTAGACATGCGGACCAGAGCACTCCCACTGGAGTGATTCCAGCACCATAACTACAAACCAAAGTGCACACACACACACACACAAAAATACTCTTCAAATGTCTATTATGAGCCTACATAATATGTTGACACACACGGTTGACTCACAACTATTAAGTGTAAATCAATCTACCAAGTAAGACTTTTAGAGCTTAAATAAGACATGGTTTCTCATTGTGCAAAGTTTTTAATGAAGACACTAACTGGTGACTTTCTCTCTGAGTAAGAGCAAAACAGACTGGGGTAGTAAAAGTGATTTGTAGATTTCCTCCTCTTTCAATCCAAAACCAATAATCTAGCCTGTTAAATGACGCTCACCGGGATACGCTGGGAGTAAAAGAAGCAGGCGTATTGCTTCAGATCCTGATCCGCTAGAGATACCGGAACCACAAAGAATTCTGGGAGACTGCAAACAACAGAAAAAAGTAGTTACATTTCACATAAATGGCTCCTGACAGTGTGAAGCACAGTCAAATATGTGATGCTTCTTTGTGTCAGTATTATAAACACAATGACCTGATACTGAACTGTGTGTGGATCAGTGAGATCCGTGCTTTTATTCCAGAGGATTACTGCAGAAAGGACAACATTCCTGTCTGTCTGAGCAGATTTATGTGATCCGGTCATAATTTAATCAGTTATCACCGTCTTAACAGGAGATTGATTAGGATGACTAATTCAAGTCACTTTAACAATAACCATTTATATTGTACATACTCATCCCTGTGTTTCTGTCACATTCACTTGTTACATGAAGGTTATGAGTCATGCAGCAATGATCTACAGCTTAAGGTGCATATAATACAAGCTGTTTGCAAAATAGACCACAGTTTACTTGTAAATTCACATTTATACACTTACCTGGGCGAGATGAAATAGCCTTGATTTATGGTACACACTCTCCATTCAGAGGCGCCAGTACGCTTGATCTCTCTGTCCCAGTCTGAGGAGCAGTCGAACAGGGTGGTCTGCATCCCCCCGCCAGGGTCAACGCCGTTCACCCGCTCACCTGAACAAACCACACGTGTACATGCTCAAACAGCAGTACAGGGATGCTAACTAACGAGGGGTGAAAAATATGACTTTTTATAATAAATGTTTTAAAACGTATTAGATAAAGTAAAAAAAACTTGGACAATGGACAAACACTGCATATATAAACCCTCTTCAGATCTACTTTATTGGCATATTTTAACATTAATTTACATTTAAAGGCAGGATGTATTAGGTTTGCATTACTGGTTGCGTCACAAGCTCCTCTAATCAAGATCAGGTTACATTCTGCCATTCTGTCATGTCTTAAAACTATATACAAAATAAAATACAGCCCAATAATAGCAGCCATATAAATCTTAATATTCATAACTTGAGCACTTTGCATTCCCTGGCAAGTCTTCTCATGCCCTGACTTGCAGGGAAACTGAATGTATGGACAGCTCAACTCAAGTTAGGCAGCTCTTGTGGAAACAGTGCAAATCATTTGCGGTTACGGCCACACATGTTTTTTTTACCCGTTGATCCATGGTATCGCTTTCCGACGTATTCAAAGCCAAAGAGTAGCTGTGGGTCAGCAGGATGGGAGTAATGAGCGATGGCCAGACAAACCTGTAAAAGCAAATCACATATTCACATGACTAACACAAAATGACCTTCACTGTTTCACTGCAATTTCTTCAGAAAACAGAACTGAAATGTCATTACAACAAATTCCTCCTCCTTTCGTGTCACAATACAACTTTTGACATTTACTAACAAAATGTTTCCAGACCAATTAACCCTCGCAAATTCCAAATGCTCCACTACAAATGAGAAATGTACACCTCTAATCTTTGGAAGGGCATTTGGAAGAGAAAATTAGCCTGTGCTGAAATAATGCATACAGAACTGATATTTCTGCCACTGGGCACTGAACATCAGCACCTGAAGTGCTTGATTTAAATTCTAGGCATAAAACACTGCTAAGGTGGTTTGTCCTGAACTGGTTGATATCCTCCACCCTCAGGACTGCATGGTGAAGTTTGGGAATTTTTCTTTCTTTTATCGGTTTTCCTACAACACCTGTTGGTTAGTTCCTCTGTTTATTTCTTCAGAAGAGCTTTTCTTGGCACAGCTGTCGGATACAGGCATGGAAACATTCAACAACGTGCACAGAGCCCAAGCTAGGCTGGACTTTCAACCTTTATGACACTATCAACATTTCTCTTGCTGTATATTACATATTTCACAGATGAGTCTTCAAATAACAAACGTACTCTGCATGACCGACGTCCCACTTGCATGGAAAGGGAGAGTTCACCCAAAAATGATAATTCTGTCATCATTCACTCACCCTTATATGTTTTCATATAATTTCATTTTAAAGGTGTAGTTCACCCAAAAATTCAAATTCTTCCAAACCCATAAGAGTTCATCATCGAAATACAAATAAAGAAATTTTTTATGAAACCTGGGAGAGTTCTGTCCCTCCATAGTGTTTTGAAGTTAGTCTTTTGGATTTGGCAGAATTTTCATTTTTGGATGAACTATCCCTTGTATAAAAACAAGAGTTGAAACCCAGAAAACTCGTTCACACAGAACACGTTTTTGTATTCCACTGTACAAATTGTTTTATTTTCTATATAAAAATGCGCTAGATGTATTAGAAGTCTTTGACCATTGAGCTTGTGTATTTTGCAGCATCTTCTGCGTGACACAATGTTCTAAAAACATGGCACCCAAGTTAAAAAGATTTTTTTTTTTATTCCACTGCCCTGCATTTCAACACAAAAATGCATTCTGAGTGAATGGCCCCTAAATCTTGTGCTTCTCAAACAAAGAATTGAATGCTTATATTGGTAAAAGGACAAAAACGTACTTTTGTTTGCCAGCAGGGTTTCCCTATGAAGATTGGTGTAGGAAACTCTAAAGAAGAAAAACCTGGACTAGGGACAGACGTGCTGGGAATTACCAGTGACCACTGTATAGTCTGATGACACATTAGGCATGTGAATTGAAAAGAAGCTCTGTAATTTCCAACTGGATATTATGAATTTACCAGTTGTTATATTTGTTCCATTTATTTTTTTCCCAAGTGTTTATGCATTAATTCCACTCAGTAATTAGCCTAGCCGACAGGAAAATGACACATTAGAATCCAAAAACACACATTGAAGGAGTCTCTCCTTCACAATCCAAATACAATATTTGACATTTACTTCCATTTTAATCCAATCAGAGCTGAGATGCCTAGAAATCTGCTCGCATCAGATTCCCTTAGGCTCCTCCATAATACTAGCACCTGCTAGCAATATGAATAAGCAGTGCTTGTTGCTACGGCTGTCAAGGAAACGCACTCTACTTGCCCTTCACGTAAGCTCCTTTTTTTAGCATTCACTGGCACTGAGGAACAAAAGCATCAGAGAAGCTCTGGAACGGAACTTCAGGATAAATGCGCGTGTTTGCTAAGCGCTCAGAAAGTGAGAGCCGCGCTCAAAGGGCTTTTTGTTTCTCTTGTTTTTTGTGGTGCTTTTCTTGCCCCTTTCTCCCCCTTCCTTCACACATTCTCGGGACCTGGCAGACTGTTTCGAGCTGAACTTTGGCACCTCTTTTTTCTTCCTCCCCATTTACTTCACTCCTTCTATACCTCTAGTTATTCCCCTTGAAGTTTGGGCCTTGTATTTGGTGGGTAACTGCAGGTGAAAAGCTTGGCTTCCCTCACAGTCTTTTTCCCATTACTGAAAGAAAAACTCCCTTTTCTGCTTCCAAAAACATAAACAGCTCTAAGTGCAGCCTTTGAGAGTCTAGTGACTAATAAATGATGACTAACAATCATTCCAAAGATGCTGTGGAAACCGTTCATTTCGCTCTGAGTCATGCTATAGGAATGGCCAATCAGGGCTCGTTATACTGCAGGAATGACAGCCATTGAGTCAGGAGCACAATGTGGAATGTTCGTTTTACACAAAGTTCCATGTTGCCAGGCAACAGCAGCTGTTGTGAAGCAACAGGATGGGTTTGTAGGCTGGTGTGAGTCACAGAGCTCAGAGTTCATGGTATGATCAGATCAGCTTGTATAAAGAGCTCTTTTTATCTTCTTTATGGCACAGTTGTATAACGGGAGGGAGGGACATTCCTCAACAGAAAAAGCTTTATTTTATGAGGCAGAGAGCCTCTGATGGTTTTGGTGGGAACTTTCAAACACTCCAATATGCTTCACTGCAGTTCATTTTTTGGCCTTTTAAGTCTACCATCGGGGAAAAGCAAAAATATATAACTAACATTAAAAATTAAGGGCAATTTTAGAACATAGAACATCTCTGATTATCTTTTCTGTCTAAGACTTGAATGAATCTAAAAATCAGATGGGACAATATGAAAATAAAGCAAAATAAAAAATTGTGATAATAATATTACAAAATATACAAAAAGCTTGGGGTTAGTAGGTTGTTTAAATGTTTTTGAAAGAAGTCTCTTTTCCTCAAAAAGGCTGCATTTGATCAAAAATACGGTAAAAACTGTAATATTGTGAAATATTATTACAATTTAAATTGACAGTTTTCTATTTAAATACATTTTAAATTGATAATCAAGATCATTTGATGAACAGAACAGCATTTATTTGAATCAGAAATAATTTTTAACATTATCAAATTTAACACGCCCTTGCTGAATACAAGTATTTCTTTAAAAAAAAAACAAGTAAATTGAATGGTAGTATATGAGGTTAAATAATGTATAAATCTCTCATTTTTATAGAACAACCCTGTTCAACAGCACCACCAGTGAATAAAGTTCTTCGTTTCTTTTTTTTGCCTCCCTTGAGCTCATTTTGATCTCAAAGTGGCGTGCATGTGAAGGGGTAACTGTGCAACAAGCGTGAAAACTCACGTGAGAGGAACCAGTTCCTCCCACTGTGAATGGCTGATTACACTGTCAACTGAATATTGCCAGACTGTTAGGATTGCAACCAAATTTAAGAAGATGAATGGACCAATTTCAAAGTAAACAACTCACCCATATGGACATTACAGAGTAATTTCACATTTGAATCTAAAGGATCTTTGAGTAACAATCTACCACACGCCACTGGTTTGCATCTCGTGTATGAGGGGGTATAGCAGGAAGAGATGAATCTGTGACTCGTCATTACAGATCTGCAGTGGGATCAGTGTCCACCAGACGGAGGTGGTGGATGAAAGCAATGCTGTCTAGGTAAAAAGACAAACTATAATCCACTCATCCTACAACCTCTCAGTTGGAAAGGGGAGAGAACTAGAGAAGAGACTTCCTGAAACACCACAGGCCTAGAGTTCTAGGAAAGGTTTCTTGCTTAAGTAGGACACTGACAAAACAAAACGAAATCAATTTGCATAAAACTGCATACACAAAAAGACAGAACACCGGCTGAAATTAATACAACTCATTAGGGCTGAGTAAAAAAATATCGATATCTCTATATTAATCGATTCTCATTTTTATGGAATGATATCGATTCTTAAATCCCAAGAATCGATTAGTCTAGCCTGTTTTCAGTTAATGGACGGAACACTGAAGGGCACTTCCCATCCAATAAATCGCAATAAGCATTGTGCTTTTGATATGAAACAAAGTCTCAGATTTCAAATTCTGTCCATTGTATTGCAGTATTCAAGCAATAAATGCAGTTTTGGCCCCGTTTAATGTGGAGTGACAGATCTCTGTAGCGCCTCAGTTCAACAGACCTTTTTTCCTTGAGAAAATTTGGCATGTACTGTCCCTGATATATATCTAAAATAATCGATATCAAATCGAATCGGTAATCGAATCGCAAGCTTGTGAATGAGAATCGAATCGAATCGTGAAATTTGTGTCAAAACCCAGCCTTACAACTCATAATTGCACTTCATTCCAGGATGGGAACCAATAACATGTAGGAATTTCTTGTACTTGTTTACAATTTTACTTCAGGGAAAAAACACCCAGACTTCAGCGGGGGGATGCAGCCAAACACATTAGCTCTTAATCCTCTCTCAGACCAATCCAAAAGCGCCAGGAACGCAAAAGTGTGTGAACATGTGCAAGTGTGTTTGGGTGCAAGAGGCTGAGAGGTTAATTATTTTACGTGTGTGTGTTTTGTACCTTTTTAGCACTCTCGGGTCCGGCTTCATCAAAGCGGAATCGGATGATGCGGAAGTCTTTGCAGTAGAGGATAAGCTCAGTAGGGTTAAATTTCAGCTTCTGATTGGAACCCAAAATCTTCTGCTTCCCCTTAACATCATTCACTATTTTAAAAAACACACATAAAACAAGTCTTATTTGGATTTTGTAAGCATTACAGATAATGAAAGTAGATAGAGTACAGGTAAAGATGGGGAGAATTGGGATTGGGATGTGGCAAGAGGCAGACTTGCATGAACACTACAGTGTTATGTATCATAGAATGTGTTCTTACCACCAAGTTTACTAATGTCACTATTGGATTCTACATGTGCTAGTGAGCGAGGGAGTACTGTATTATCTGTATTATGAGTAATATGTATTACATCATATTCAGTCAAACAGTCTAAAGGCGCAAGAAATCATGACTAGGTTTAAAGTAATAAATAAAATAACAAACTGAAGCAAGTTCTCTATCCCTAAGGTAACTAACGAGGAATACAGAAGTTCTAATTAAAACCACTTGTTCCATTTTTAACATTTGGAGTTCTAAAGAACATGACACTTTATCTTTACCACAGAATGAGTTCCTCTACTCAAGTAAGTACATCCACTAATGGGCTGAGAGAGAAAATGCTCACTAGATATCAACTTCATATTAGCAGAACACATTTATAGCAATATCACATTCACTATCATGCCGTTTATACATGTATTGTAAAAAGCCTACTGTACATTATATATTTAATCACAATCACCTTTTACATATCAAATTACTACATTACTACACAAGAGCAATAAATGAATCAGTTTTTTTTTCATTGTATTTTCATATTAACTAATGTAAATATATTACCAAACCTACTGAAGGCCCAACTGTGTTGTTAAGATGTAGTTAATTAATTTAAGTAAATTAAAAGGAAGAAAACATTTTTGTGAGAAAAGCACATTATTCTTGCACGTGACAAATTTAAAAAAATTAAAAAAAGAAATATGAGCAGATATGGTCTGCTGGAGCTTTCAGTCCTGTAATTAATATAGTATAGATAGCCTCCAAGGGCACTATCCCAGACTCCAGGGGTCACTCCGCGTGCCTTACTGAAGCCACGAAGAGACTGAGACTGAGACTGAAGCCTCAAAGAGCATGCAGTGTTTTTTTTCTTCTAAGCCTGAATCTCTTATAAAGATCCTTTGTTAAAGCCACACAGACGGAGTAAAAAAAAGGAAAAAGAAGACTTCATCTGTTTAGCACAGCAATTCAGCACTTGGGGGGCTAAGTCAGCAATGAGGGGAGCGCAAAGATCTAACACAAACAAGATCTCCAGCTATGCTAAAAGCAGTCACCCAAACAGGTTCTGCAGCTACACTGCAGCGTCACATTTGACCGCATCACTCGTGGAAAATCCAAGCAAACAGGGTTACAGTCATTCATCTATTATGTTAACATAAATGCTGTAGAAGTTTACGAAAAGGAAAAAGGGGAACAGACACAGAAAGAGAGAATAAACTGAGCACTGAAGTACAGTAGAAAGAGAGATGGAAAACAAACAAAGTTAGAAAAGAAGGAAACAAGCGACTCTAAAAACACTGAAGAATGGCAGACAGGAGAACGACAGGGATAACACACGAAGAGACATTCTATATAAAGCTGCATTGGGTCTGACCAGTGAGACGCCTCAAAACATTTTCATTTAGGCTATTAAAAGCATGGTTGGAATTTCATGGATCGGTGCTTCTCAAATTGGGGTCTGTGGAGCCCCAGGCATTCATCTCATACAGGGGGCAATAGTGGAACAGAGTAACAAGGGCCCATGGCAAGGGGGGAGGAGGGGGAATCGCTAATATCACCCCCACCCCCCCACTGAACATGATCTTGTAATCGCGTTCTTGCACATACTAAATGCCCATACCCCCCCTATAGTGTGGTGGAGTGTATTCATGTGCTGTTGAATTACCTGTTACTACCTGCTCCACGCAAGCCAGCGGGATATCGTGCTCGCCCAAGAGGCGGTGGGTGCACTGGAATCTCTGTAAACAATAAAACAAGACAAGGATAATTTTTCATTCATTTGCTTTCAGTCTGTTTGTTGATGTTATCCAGTCAAGAGAACCTCATGAGCTACAGCTAGCCAGTGTATGAACCAGTGTAATGGGTGACCTGTATTAGCTTTTAAGGACTGTAATAATAATTGACCTTCTTTCCCTAGTAAATCAGCTGATCATCGGTCAACTGAGGGAGATTATTAACATGTTTAACTTGTGAGCTGCTTAAGAGGAAGGAGTGATTATACAGGTTAATATGTGTAGCAGATTTCACTGCTCTGGAAAAGAACTTTGGATTCTTTTGCCTGACAGGAGTCTGAAACGTATTTCCCTCCTTATACGACCCATTTATATTCAATCTAGTAGGGAATAATACTCATGACACCAATATAAAAAGAACTGTATTATATTGTATACATTATAATACTGTAATATGTTTCACCTATATCTTCACACATATATTGTGGACCTTCTTTTCTCAATACTTAAAGTTGAATGTGAAGTGAAGTGTGGCCAAGTATGGTAAACCATACTCGGAATTTGTGCTCTGCATTTAACCCATCCAAGTGCACACATACAGTAGTGAACACACACCCGGAGCAGTGGGCAGCCATGTGCTGCGGCGCCCGGGGAGCAGTTGGGGGTTTGGTGCCTTGCTCAAGGGTCTCACCTCAGTCGTGTAATTGAGGGTGGAAGAGAGCATTGGTTACTCACTACCCCCTCTGACAATTCCTGCCAGACCTGAGACTTGAAACCGCAACCTTTGGGTTACAAGTCTGACTCTCTAACCATTAGGCCACGACTGCCCTTTGTGTCCTTTCCAGTTTATGGAGTCAACCAAAGTGAATGCAAGCCAACAGTAGTGTTTCCTCAAAATGTTTACACACTGTGGCTCTATCAAAACACTGTCATGATCAGTTACAAATAAATCAATTCAAATTATAGTGCAAAAGACAGACAAATCTATTGATTTATTTTGCTCAACTGTGTAGATTAATTCTCTAAGTCTACACAGCCACGATGCTCACAATCCTACACCTACATTCAGATCCTGAAAAGTTTTTTTTATTTTAACTATAGGAGATGTTTTAGGGCTAGAAGGTTAATTATTTCCATTGCACGCTGAAAACAGCAGAGCAAGTTAAATAAAATTCACACATGTATTTTCTGCTAGCAGAATTGTTAAAGTCAGCAATTCTTCAAATGACTTGGATACATTTTATAAAAACATGTTGTTTTTTTTAACTTTCATTTCATTTCGCTTTTTATTTATTCATCTATCTTTTTTTAAAGTTGTGAGAACACAATAAAATGTCATATTATAATCCAAAAGCATGTTTTGTGTTTAATAATATTCTATGCCATAATCACTGCTTATTGTCGTAGTCAAAGGCAGTCAAATCAAATCGAAGTACTGACTCTCAAATAAGTCTGTGCTTACCTGTCGTGGCAAGGAATTATGGGTAATGAAGGAAACTTTGAAGTTAGTACACACAAGTTTCCCCCAGAGGTCATCCTGACAGCTTTCTGCACTGATGCACTTCCTTACAAAGTTAGCCTCATTCACAACTATTTCACCTGTGAAGAGGGAATAAGGAAGTGAAATTTAGAGGAAGGAAAAACACAATCAGCTGAGCAATGGATGATTAGCTCAAATTTTAACTCAATTTAAATATTAAAAACATACATTGAAAGGAAGGGTTGGTACTTGTGTTTGACAAGTATTATTGGTTTGGTTTGTTCTATACTCCACTCCAGTATATGTCCATATTCTTCTCTGCTAACAACCAAAATGTTTAAGAGCTAAACCGAAATAAAATGACACTACTGTGATGTATTTTCCATGCAATAGACAGAGAAACACTTTTTTTTTGCCAAACAAACAAGCTGTAATCCTCCACAATACAGCAGCAGTTTCTTATTAGTTCAGTAGCAACTTCTGGATTGCTGACCACTTAGGTAACACAAACTTGAGCCCCTTCCTAACGGCTTTCCATGGAAAGCTTTCTCTCCTATGACTCTCCTTTCATGTTGGAAGAAAAATTATGCCCTATTAAAAGAAATGACCTGTTGTGCTGATTAACAGTCACATAAACCTTTACCATGTACAGAGTGTGCATACGCATGCTGAGAATCCCGAACCTCTTTTTTTTTTTTTTTTTACACAAACAGGAAAAGAGCACAAGTTCATCAAAGTCAGTTGTACCAGGAAGAAACCCAGGCTTTCAGAATACAGAAACATCAGGTTTTTGGAAAGACAGTCACAAAGACATTTTGTTTGCACTAATAATACTCACTAGTACCAGTAATTCTAGTTTATATGCTGAGCTTTTGAGTATTTAGAATGGAACTAATGTCATTCTAAAGAGACATTTACGCTAAGGACAATAACTATAATGATAACTATAACAATAAAGCTATAATAATATAATATAATCTTTCAGATTCCCCCCATTTCAGATATACACATTTGTGTATATTGGAGAAGAATAATCAAGTTGCGGAGAGGAAGAGTGAGGGAGAAGAAACTCCAGCTGGGAGCACTTTATGTGTGAGTGTGGGGAGGAGTGTTTGTCTCACAGCTGGGCCTGTTTCAGGGGTTACAGTAGGGCAGGGTGCAGGCTAGCTAAGATGGAGGTTGGGCCCTGCTAGAGCATTTGCATCTCAGGCACAATTATGGTGAACACTTCACTACATGCCAAGCCACTAAAACAGTAGGCCAGCCAGCTGATTTTCAAAGAAAAACAATTAACCTATGACTACACCTGCTTGGAATCTGAGCCCACAGAATTCTGGAGAAAGTTCAGCAGTTTTCCGAAGATTCTGAACATCATCAACAACTACTTGCATATTTATCTCTTAGACATTTTGGTATAAATGCTTTCATTTACTAGTGTCATCAGTTGAACACATTTTACCATACTTACATTTTAAAACATAATTTTTTTCCCTCCTACAATAAGTGAAGATTGAAAAAAAGTCTACAGATTCCATGTACTAGCCCTACTTTATAGCTAACTTTAAGACCTTAGTATGAAGACCCACAATCTTTATTACCCATCTTCTCACATATTCACACAGGCACACACCCACTCGCATATTTCAAACAACTTCCTCTTCCGCTCTACATGCAGCCTGGCCTGTAAATGGCCATGACTAGTATCATTGTGCGTCTGATCAGCGCTCTACAGGGATTAACCAGCAGCTCATCCTCACTGATCTACCAGTACACAGCAGAAGATCAGGCCAGGCTGCAGATGAGAAGGAAATGCAGATGCACTATGAATACAGCCAAACACAGTCACATTGAAATACTTGTTTGGTGGTTAATCAATAAACAGCCAGTGAAGATCAGTTTATAAAAGAGAATGGAATCACATCTCATTGTACAATTTGCATAATACTGTATATTGTGACTTTTTTTTTTAAAGGGGTCGTATGGTGCTTTTTTAAAATATCATTATTTTGTGTATTTGGTGTAACAGAATATGTTGACATGCTTTAATGTTCAAAAAACACATTATTTTTCAAATACTGTACATTATTGAAGGTCCTCTATGCCCCGCCTCTCTCAAACGCTTCGTTTTCTACAAAGTCCCTCCTTCCGACAAGCGCAGTCTGCTCTGATTGGCCAGCTGACCCAGTGCATTGTGATTGGCCGAACACCGCAAGCACTCGTCGGAAATGTAACCCCCCTTACCATAATCGCGAGCTTCATCTTTCAAAATAAATGTTAAGACAGTAAATAATGTCAGTTTTACCATCAGTTCAAGCCCGAAAGGGGAACAGAGTCGCGTGACAGACACAGTGATGAAGCTGGTATGTGTAAAAAAAAAAAAATTTTAATTGGGATAATATTTCACAATGTTACTGAATTACTGTATTTTTTATCAAATAAATGCAGTCTTGGTGAGCATAAGAGACCTCTTTCAAAAACATTTTAAAAAAATATAAAACTATTGAACAGTATAGTGTAATTTAACTTGATCACATCAAACTACACAGTATATCCTGATGTCGATGGTTTGACATTTCAGAAATGACAACACTTGAGAGTACACATCATAGCCATGCCATTAATAATACACACTTGACATCAAACCTGATTAAATGACCTAAGACAAGTTAAAGGCAGTCTGCACCTAAATATAACAGCATTAAATATTTAGATATGATCATGTGATCAGGCTTCCTGTCTTTACATCCTGTTAGAAAATGGGTGTTTTTGCGGCTGATATGTTTCATCAGTACACTTTGGATTGTTGTTTTTTTCTTTGAATTTGGACAAGAATTATAGCAGAGTTAAAGAGTAAAATGGTGTCTATGGCTAAAGCAGGGAGAGAAGATGATGATGAATACTGCAAGGGTAGGACAGGTCGGACTGTCCTTGTTGCATTGTGCTGCAAAAAGTTACACGTAAATGGATCAGAGCAACATGATAACAAGAGGCCAAACAGAAAGACAGAGAGAGAGAGAGAGAGAGAGAGAGAGAGAGAGAGAAAGAGAGAGAAAGAGAGAGAGAGAGAGAAAATGTGTGCATGGTAGGGCTTGCAAAAACTCTAGCCCGACGTCCCGGGGCTATTGTATCTTTCAGTCAGGCTACCAAAAATGTATGATCCCCTGCCTGACGGGCTATCTTTAATACAGGGTTCCTGCGGGTCCTTAAAATTCTTCAATGTAGTGGTTTCAAATTTAAGGCCATAAAAGTCTTAAATATAGTATAAGAAAAGTCTTAATTAGAATTTCAAGATTTCTTCAATTGGGGACAGAAAGACAAGAATAGCAATATAGCTTAATGTGATGATAAAACTTCAAAAGCCTGTGATTTCATGGAAGAAATTTGGGCGCTCCATGTTTTAAAGTCAAAATGCAGCGTGGGTGTTTTTATATGAATGCATCTCTGAAGGGAACCGACTGTCTTCAGAAAAGTGTTGATGGCATTTTCATTTTATCTTTCCTTTAATGCCTGATAAAGCCAAGTAGGGATAACTGCAGGCTGGAGTAATGGGCGTGGCGAAAGGTCTCCATGATAGGTCGGCAAAGCTGTCTGTCCGGGTGTGGGGGGAGGGTTAGTTTCTGTTTTACTGATTCACCTTTCGGAATGCCTGCTTTCGGTATGTCCATTGCTCCAGGCTGCAGCTACCCCTCGATAAAGCAGCACTTATGAGCACAGCGCTGCTTTGTGTCCAAGCGTTACTGGGGAAACCACTATATTTCTGTTGTTTCAAAAGCCCCACCTATTGGCAGAAAAAGAATTTGCATCACTAATCATTTTACAGATCAGTGATTTGCATTTTCAATAAGCCCGTCTGCTGCTTTTGCTCAGAACACAGCGAAAATCGATCAACATTTTTACGCAGCAAACACGCAGTGTTGTAAATGTGAAAGAAGCTAATGTGGCTTCTAAAAATCTAAACAATTAAGACACAAAGATATATATTTATATGTAATAATTTATACGCTGGTTTGACTCCCTTTTCTTAAAAGTTGTTTAAATTCTGAAATGTGAGATTTTTTGTTTTTGTGAAAACCTGTATCTGAACTGTAAATCATGTCATTTTACTGTTTAATGTTATCATAGGGCTGGACGATATGACCAAAATTTATATCACAATATAAATTCTTAATTTCGGTCGATACGATATAATTCCGATATGAACACTATTAAAAAAGCCTCATAAAAACGGCCAAGAACGACCACAACAGATGTCTTTACCTACAAACTTGTGAAAAATTAATTTGCCAACTCTATGAAACCTACTCCTATAAAACTATATCATATTTTAGGAAAAAAATGGCGCAAATAAATAAATGTTCACCTTTTATTGGTATTTAGCCTTCATTCAAACAAGAAATGTGAAATCACTGTCAAATAAATCTCAGACTCTCCTTATTAATATTAATATTCATATTTTTTACTTCAAACTATAGGCTAACATACCAGTCAAAAGTTTTTGAACAGTAAGATTTTTAATGTTTTTTAAATAATTCTCTTCTGCTCACCAAGCCTGCATTATAACAGAACTTTCAAATGTATGATAAAACAGCCCCACATACGCACGACCGGAAGGAGCGGAAGCGCTCGACTGTGGCATAATAAAAGCTCCGCTGCTTTCGAGACGTGTGTCGCGCTCGTTCAGCGGCCTCCTTTTGCTTCGACAGCTTTCAGCCTCACCCTGCTTCATTCTACTACGTTAATAAATCATTAGCTCATCCATGAACATGATTTCTGCCCGAGTCCCGTGGGATTGCATCGGCTGTGGGGATAAAGACGACAACTCCCATGATTCCACACTCAGTCACTGCGTCATCAAACTACGCCTCTGTCTATTTGTTTATTTTGAATATGCGCCCTCTAGCGGCGAAAATTACATATTGTGCCTTTAAATAAGAGAAGATCTGCAGAAAATTCAGCGCAGCTCAAACAATTCAACACCGTCTGTAGCAAAATGGCTCGAAAAGGTTACAATTCTGGGCCGGCCTAGATCCCAGCCATCCAAATAAGACTTTTTCTTCTTCTTTGTTTTTTAAATCAATATGGTTATCTCTTGAAAATGTGCAGGTAAAGAATTTTTATT